ACGAAAAATGGAGCCATCTGGGAACTGCTAATTTTTTTAGCATTATTAGCGAGATTTTTTGACAATGGCTAGTTCATCTTGTAGGTTTTGACAACCTAATATTCTCTTAAAAAGGGTGAATTTGGGCCAAAATCGGCGAAATTGTTCCATGGTGAATAAATATTCAAAACGCCAATATCGCCTTAGACAGCAAAAATGCCTTAAAACGGAAAATTGCATTAAAAAACCATGGCAGTATGGATTTAATAACACCAATATATTTTACCAACATTAAAAAGGCTGGTTTGGCCTTGAAATCATCATAAGGTGCTGTCAACATACCACGGTCCAAGCCGAAAGATTTTCTAGACCGGACCAGGAACCGAACCTTAATTGACTAGGCTATCTGTGGCCCAGCGGAAATAAATAATCGTAGTGGTATGGGGGAAATGGCTCTAATGATTGTTGGCCTATGGATCTAAAGATTGGGCCTATCTTTAAAAATCTCTTGTTCTTCAACTTTTCTTATAACAGTGCGTCATCTGGGCAATACAAATAAATATTTTTGATTGGTAGTGAAAGATTGCTAAAAAACGCTTTCCTTCGAAATGTATGTATGGGCCCAATATTAGGGACCTTTTTTCTGAAATTATCCCTATATACTTTTTTAACACTGTACTGATTTTGTTAAATGAAATACGAAAACATAAAAGATCATCACAACAGAACCTTTATGATTATTTTACATCATATTTTTGAAAATGATCATTATTTTTTCATTAAACTGCTTTTCTCGACTGCAACTGACCATCGAGTCTTCTAAACCTCGTACATCAATATCGTGCTTGGCGGCAGGAACACTTTTATTACATTGCCATCAGAGAGTCACGTTTCAAAGCACATCAGACGAAGACCAAGGAGGCGCCACCACATCATGCCAACCACCCGCAAGAGTAGGCAGAAGCGTGACTCATCTATTCGCAGCAAACCATCATTTGTTCAAGCGCGCGTTCATAAACGAGAGCTTCACGTTTTGTGTTGCTTTTTATTCGATCTCTTTGTTTTACTTTAACGTCTATCGTTTTCGTACCGGTATTAATCAGCACCCGACGGAACATCCCATTGTTGAACAAAAAAAAACTGGCAAAAACTTGAGCTTCTAACCCCTTGAGCGAATCGTGTACAACCAGTAGACCACGGTTATGTTGAATCGGTTTTTTTACTTGTAGGGTGAATTCTCCAATGTTGGTCTTATTTGGTATTTGTTGATCAAAACATGATCATGAATCGTAAATAAATAGTCTTAATTTTGAACAAAAGGTACGTTGGTAAAACACCAACGAGACAAACGATAGCCTGTTTAATTTGAAATCATCAAATTTTACAAGTGTTACAATATAAAATTTGAAATATATATTGATTTAATTGGAGTTAGTATACAATTTTGCTACATTATTTATTATTGACGCAAAGTTTAGTACCATCAGAAGTGGAAAATTTCTTCACATGATTGTTGATTTTTTGACAATTAGCCTTAGCATGATGAATGTATTTGACGAAAATCGAAAAACCTTTCGAGTAATTTATCAAATACCTACCATGCTTGCTTGTTTAAATATAAGTTTCATCAGACACATAAATGATCATAAAACGAATGCTCAACGTTACGTCATGGGTCCAACATCCGGCAAAACACACTTCTATCGGCACCGGCATATGCTACGTATCGCGCCACAACGAGCAGGCGTTTTTATTATTTTTACACATTCCACGATTTTTGCACAGTTTCATTCATGGATGTAATTTTCGTTTGATTCATTCTTCCTTCTCGATGGGAGAGGTAAGCGCTAAGTAGGAGTTGGGTGAAAATGCTATCCACTTGGATGGCGCTGCTGTGATGGACTCCGAATGGAGCTGCTATGATGGCCATCGTCGGAACAGTGAGATTGACTACTGCGTCGCCATGGAGGAAGTCGGACTTTGTGGTTCTGAAGCGTGACGTTGTAAAACTTCGCCTGAGCATGACCCTCGATAGATGGATGGATGGGAACATGGTTGCCATTGCGGAAAGCTACGAAGGTTCTTTAGTAGGTATTTAAATCACAATGTGAATCATGTCATGAATTTATTGCTTTTTGTTTTGTGATTATACATACTCCTGAACGAAGGGGAATTCCCAATAAGATGTGAACCTTAGACCATTTTTTTCCTTGATTTATTTTCCGTCGATCTTGTTTTCCGTACTGAGTACCAATTCTACCAATGCCAGGGAGGCAGCTCCAACACCTGGATCCTATCTATTGACCCATCAACTCATGGACCAGGAACCAACAGCTTTACTTCCATTCCGAAGGAAGGCGTGTCAGAGATTTTATTCCTAGGAAAATCCCTACGGCGCCTGCTGGCATTGAACCCAGGCCCTTTGAAGTGAGAGGCAATCACGCTTACCACTACACCACCGACGCTTCTTGTCTTCGACCATTTAGAAATGAAAAAGTTTCGATTGTTTACAGCAACCTTACAACGATTTTTTTTTTCAGGTCCAACAACATAGGATCTGCTTGCTTTCTGATAAACTACAGTCTGATCTTTTGTTTTTTTCAAACCTGGCTTCCGGTCGAGGCTCCCAATTTTGAATTTTATCAAATCTACATATATTCAATTTCTGGTGGTGTAACCTATTTCCAAGTAGTGTTCAGATGTGGTTGCAGTGATCGCCATCGATAGTGTGGAGTTGAACTTTGCCATAGTATCTATTCAGTTCTGAGCTTGGTTCGAGTGCTCCTTTAGAGTACCCATATACGTGCTGTGACCTCTGTGAGCGGTGCCGCGGTTTGAAGGCTAGGACTAGCTAGAACACACATCCTCCTCATTTCCTTTCACACCACAAAGCCGTGGGATCCAGGCAACACGCTGACAAAATCCAAGTATATGGCGAAGCCCGATGCCAACTCTACCGTCTGCTCGGGACTTGTATGTGTACCGTATTTGGAATGTTGTAACTCAAGTACTGATCTCACTTGGTTCCCTTCAGAACCAGTGCGTTATCGCCAAGTCGAAGAAGAGTTCCAACGCCTGGCTTTGCACCAGTTTGGAGTTTGTTCGCTTCCTCCAGGGGGGGTCTTCTTCCGCCTGTACGGTGTTTTTTCGACAAATTCGACAGCTCTACTGGATATAGGGGCGGTGGAAGAAGACCTGAAGTGATTCTGATGGCCTAGTGGTACACTGAGGTGGGTCAACATGAATGATGTCAACAAATTTCTTCGCAGAACAAGTGGAAGGAGAAGAAAGGGTTAATACTGCTTCGACTTTTCGGAGATCTTGTTCCACTTCTGCACAGGTATTGAAGTATTTTAACGCAATGGATGAGCAACCAGTTTGCTTTGGGAGCCGAATTCTTCCCAGGTACAGTTTTACCACGGCACGTGTTTGGCCATATCGGCCATAACAAAACAGAAGTTTTCTCTTAACGGCATCCTGTAATTTCGATTTTTAGAACTCATAAATCTAATAAACATTATAAATGTCCTCAAAGAAACACTCACATTGTTTTTGTGGAATCGTTTGGAAGTGTTAAACTGGTAAAACCTCGGGTAAACCTGTTTTATCTTGGAATGAGCTGTTGTAAAACCCGTAGATCAAAATGGTTATATTGTGTAGTCTTGAAATTAATTATTTTTTTGCAGCGAATGCGAGAGCCTTCTTGCAAGCTGAAGTGGTGTAGTAGAGAAATCCACCGGTTCATTTATCTGTTTAAAAGCAAATTAAGCTTGTTTTTAGCTAAATACAGTAATATTTGGCTGATAAAGCTGTTCTGCAGCAAAATATATTGTTTAGAGACTCTGTTCGATTTATTTTAATACTTTCGTATTGGTATACATAACATATTCGTATAATACATAAATCAAGATAGAGCTGAAATTAGGGCGTAACAGCTTTGGTAAACAATGACTTCTTTCAACCATATCTTGAAAGTCAAGGCTCGCCCACGCAAATCAACAACACCATCAGGTAGAGTAAGACTTCTTCCTACCCGACGGTAATATTGGTTTGCGTGGGCGTGTCTTGAATTCCAAGAAATCATCAAGAGAAGTCATTGTTTATTAAACTTGTTACGCCCTTATTCCAGCTCTATCTAGAAATATAATGTAAACCCACCAAGTGAGGTAATCCTATGATCATTTGACCAATTAAATTTATTTATAAATGGGTTTACTGTCAACAATAGAAGGTATGGTAATTTCATTATCATTTCATGGTTATATTACTGCATGGACTGAACTACCCACCGCATTCATCAGGGGATACTTATATTCCCATCAGGTTTTGAAACAGTCGATAAACGGTTATTTTATGCATGCATCTACATTTTTAGGAGAAAATATATGAGAATTTTCATCGTAAAACTTATGTGCTTCAACTTACATGTGGCAAAATGAAACAACACACCATATTTGTTCATGATAGAAGACGCTTTTATGAAACTTTTGGTGTAAAAAATCCGGTATATGTTACTTTTTGATTTTTCCAGAGAGTCTCAAAGTTCAACTTTGAAAAAACTGTTTCAACATTCAGCATTTTTCAATTCATTTTTCACCGGTGGGACAAAAGTTCGATTCAGCTATAGTACGAAAGTTCACCTATTATTGTGATTTTTTTATTTAGGAAAAACCTGTCCCTAAAAGGCCTTTCAAACAATTTTTGGAACATTGAGCATATTCTCCAATAACCTCAAAACAAACTTTTGCCCTACAACCCCTCTATTGATGGACCGAAAAGTTTTGGACCACCTATGCTTCCATGCATGGGATGCAAAGGGTTAAGACTTGAAATGTTACTAGGGATATAAACGACAGGGTGAAGTCTAATTGCAGTGAAAACTCAGAGTGTCCATAATTTCCAAAGATCCGGGAGTCACCACAAGTCATCTCTTCCGCAAGCTGATACTCGTGTTCAAACCACATGTTACATGAATCACCAATCGATGTATATTTAACAAAAGTTCCTATTATCCTCTCTAGAATACCCTGGCGTTGCTAAGCTATGGACGATGAAATCCTGAAAACAGTGGAGTCCATGCTCGGTACCAACATCCAGGTAGTAGACTGTGAAAAAACTCAAACAATCCGCGAAGAAGAAGTACTTCTCATCAATGGAGTGCCAGTCACGTTGGAAGGTTCCGATGGCAATGCCATCAAGAAAGCGCTGATCGCCGGTGAAATCCCGTCCTGTGAAATGCTTAATCAGTTACTATTCCGCGCCGGAGTTTTACGGCAGCCTGTGCAGCTAGAAACTTCTCTGAGCGTAAAAACTAGTACCGTTACCACCGAAGACATAACCATAGCACAGAATGGTCGAATATTGGACGAGCGATCCTGCGAGACTAAGGAAAATAACTACTATACCAGCACCTCCAGCGAAATATGGGAACCGGTTAGTCGGCTCAAAAAGAAGAAGCCAGAAATCATCAACACCAGCACAGTTGATGACATGCTTTCAAACCAGCTTAAAAACGAACTGTACTTAGTAGCAAACGAAAACGTTCCATGCCACCCAACACGCCAAAACTCTATTTGTACTGAATCTTCCACGTCTTCATCAACGGAGTCTAATTATTCATCGTCCCGACCAGTCAGCAATGTTTCGAATGCATCGTACGACAACTTCGTTTGCCAGATCACTTCTGCACACCCAAGGCCGAAAGAGCTGAGCAAATCATCTACCAAAATTTCACCAAATAAGCAAAGTATTAGCTGTGATTCCGGGAACGACGAGGTTACGCTCACGTCGGTCTACAGTAGTGGCATTGGAGGGCATGAGTATTATCCCTTCAACGATATCTCCAAAACCAACACCACCAACTCGATTCAAACCGACTCGTCCTTCGGGTGTGAATTTTCGCCACCTACTTCATTCCACGACGAACCCGACTTTGCCGTCATCCCAAAGAATGGTGGTATGACGTCTCCAGTTCCACAAAAACGGCGCAACCGCACGCTGCTGCGAAACAGACCTCAAAGGCATTTGCAGAAAAATGTACGAGTATAAACAAGCGTAATCCAGAACGAAAGTCCACTTTCCTTATGACCACCCACATTTGAGCATACAGCAGTGAATGTTTTCTCAATATGCTGTTATGGGAAAACATAAATGAATGATCACCAGACTAGTACTGAAACGTGCAAAGGCAGTTGAACATTGCAGATCGGATGTTTTTAAATTATTACATTATTCACAATTGTTTACTTTCCGTTGATACTTCACCTGATAAGGAAAAATCTGAGCATTACATTTTATACTAATCGGATGTTTTGAAACCATTAAACTGCCGTCCATGCATTCCGATCTGCAGTGCGATAGAATCTGATCGTACGACACCAGCTGGTGATCAACTGAATAAACTCGTTAATAGCTATAAACATCCAGCCAGAAATAATAATTTGTTCCCGCCTTTATGTTACTCTTTTTTCACAGAATGACGCCAGTGCGAACAGTACCGATGATCCCAGCCTCAATGACGACAATGTAAGCAGCAAATTGAAAATCGACCAACTAAAAGCAAATTACCATCTAAAATATGTGTTCTTCTTTTTTACATATGTTTCAACGATTCCATTTTAGTGTCTGGTCTACCGAGATGGAAATCTGATTTCCGGCACGCTGGAAACACTCATCAAGCATATGGTACCAACGGATGAGTACTATCCGGACCAATCATACCTTTTTGCATTCTTGCTCAGCGCACGACTATTCATTAAACCGCACGAGCTTCTGCAACAAGCATGTGATATCTGCCATCAGCAGCAGCAGCTGAACATTCATCTCAACAACAATAATAACAGTATTGCTAATCAGGTACGTTTTAATAGTTGGGGTCCAACGAACGGAACATTCAATGTTTAGGTATTAGCAAGGGAAAAATATTCAATCCGGATCATCCAAGCAAAAAGAAAATATATAATCGACCCTTCTCACAAATTTAAATTTCGCCAAAAATACATTCAGAAAGAGAACTAAGATAATTTCTAAATTATTGCAATGTTTTAAAATTAGACAATATCCAGGGTACTGATTTATGTCCAGAATCTTAAACAATTTTCTTAGTCCGACATCAAGTAATATTATATATTATTTTATTATATTATCTATAATATTATCAGCATTTAATCTTTCCGAGTACGAAATGTCAAAAATAATCTAAAAAATATATCCGGGAATGTGTCAAGACCTAAATCTTGAAATTATTTCTTTGATTTCATTATCCTATCAGTCAATAAACTCTTGTGAGTCAGGGGTCCATTTTTTCTTCTTAAAGATTCTACATAGTTTGCTTGGAGTAGTCTTCGGAAAAATTTTCTCAAAAAAATGCAGCAGGTTATTACGAAATGATAGCAAATTGTACTTACTTTACTTAACAATTCTAGGCACCTTCAGTGCTGCAAGGGCCAATGAAAAATATTTCCATAATGGTCTTGCTTTTGCATTAATCGTTATGTAGGTTAGATGAACTAGCCAACGAGCTAAACATCTCGCTAATAATGCTTTACAAAAAAAAAGCTCCTATTTGAATAACGCGATGTAGAAAATAGCAAAAAAAAAATCTCACCGAAGACGGACATCCCGTTCTCGAGAGACGAGTTGGGAGAGACTGGAACTCACCACATTCAACAAGGAATTTGTTCGTGGTTTTCGACCTGTCGACCTGTCCAAGATGCCAGGAGAATCCCTTCAGGGCAATAACATTTGAGCGATTGATCACGGTATGGTATTCTTCTGAACGACGGCACGCTCACATACTACACAGATAAAATTCTGAATTTTAATAGTGATGTAAACATTCATTAACGTAACTTGTATTTCATTTCACGCAACCGCGCAACTTTTAAACAATGTTGTTTACAACAATGGGATTTTGCATACAATATTTGCTACATTGCATGAAATGTCTCAGAACTTTACTGCCGTTATACGCATAAGAGTCCCACGGTACATAAGGATTGCATAGAACATGAGACAGTTATGCGTATAACGGCAGTTTACATGATATATAATGTAAACTTATATGATATGTGACGCTCCAATTATGTGCATCATATTGAACAGAAATCTACACTACTTTTTTGAACTGTGTATATATGTCCATGGTCAATAGGAGCAGCACATCGATCGATCTCTCTCTAACAAAAACTGGACTAGCAACCAAGGCTTCCTGGGGAGTGGTTCCACAAGAATTTAGTAGCAACTAAAGGGTGTCCACGATGAAATTGCCACACACAAAATTGATTCGCAAAATTCGAGTTTTCATCCGATTGCCATCATATTTTCAGGGATTGAGAAATAACTATTAAACTTCATTTTACCATTTTACTCGTATTTTATTTACAGTCCATACGCAAATGTCCGCACCTTGGCCTTAACCCCGGCCATAAGATTCTGCACAACCTGTGAATCAACCGTTTTTTGCATGTAAACCCATACTTTCTTCAGTTCCTCGACTGTCTTCACTACCTTAGGTCGTTTAAGAAGGTGCTGCTTCATAATCGCCCAGTACTTCTCGATGGGGCGGAGCTCCGGAGTGTTGGGAGGGTTGAACATTTTCGGCACGAAATTGACCTTATTGTCCGCATACCACTTCAGCACGTCCTTGGAGTAGTGGCATGAGGCCAAATCCGGCCAGAAGATTGTTGGGACGTTGTGGGCCTTCAGGAGAGGAAGCAGCCGCTTATGGAGGCACTCTTTTATGTACACCTGTCCGTTCATCGTGTCCTGGGTCACGAAAGGTGCACTCCGCTTCCCGCACGTGCAGATGGCTTGCCAAACCAGGAATTTCTTCGCAAATTTGGACATCTTCTGAGTGCGGACATGCTCCGGAACGCTGAACTTATCCTTGGCCGTGAAAAGCAGGTTGCCGGGGATCTGTTTGAAGTCGGCCTTCACATATGTTTCGTCGTCCATGATGCAGCATTCAACTTTCGTCAGCATGTTGAGGTACAACTTCCTGGCACGGGTTTTGGTGGACTTGTTCTGCTTCTCGTCGCGATTAGGGGCCTTTTGTACCTTGAACGTTCGAAGCCCAGCCTTAGTTTTGGCCTTCTGGACAAAACTTCGGCTTAGGTGCAGCTTCTTAGCCACATCCCTAACGGAGGCGTTCGGATTTCGGTTGAAGGCCCCAACTACGCGGTTGTGATTTTTGGTGTTGTACGGAATACTTTTTCCTTCACTTCTGGGCTTCCGATCGGTGGTCAACCGTTCCTCGAACCGCTTAATCACTCGCGACACCGTGGAATTCGCGATTCCCAACGTTTTAGCGATGGAACGATGCGAGAGATCCTTGTTCTCGTGATGAATGCGCAAGATTTTATCACCCACGAGCTGTTCTTTCGACTCCATTTCCACGAGTTTTGATCACAGGACTTTAAAACTTGCAGGATGTAAATAATGCACTATGAACTAAATCCACCCAAATTTTCATTAAATTCTACCCAACGGTTAAAAAGTTAGAGCAATTTCATAGTGTGGCAATTTCATCGTGGACACCCTTTATATCGTCAACGTCATCGACATCTGAAGAGAGATAGATGAAACGGGTCGACAAAGACAAAGCAGTGGAACCTAAAGCTTCAATTCATCTATCAGTCACCTTATTCAATAACGCACGAAGAACGAATAGAATCGGTACAAAAGCAATTCGTAAATTAGGTCTTATGAAACACGGTGCATGCTCATCAACATGCAAAAATTAAAAGAGCGTCGTAAATTTGCAATGGTCTCATTTGTAAACGATATCGTTTCGCATCGTATTGATTCAGAAGAACTCTTATCAAAACTAAAGTTTTATGTGCCTTCCCGACAACTGCGCAATCGGAATATTTTTTTTTACAAACCACCATCGTACAAATTATGCTAAATTTCGACCGTTAAATCAAATTATGACTACTTACAACAAACACAGCAAAACTAGTGACTTTACAATGACAAAATCCAAACTAAAACACCACTTCAATTTAATTCGTAATTTTAACACGTAAAAATACAATATTATTAAGGCAAACGCTGCTTTATTTATTTTTTGTTTTTTTTTTACTCATTATTACTATTAAAAACAAAGAATGTAATTATTAGAACAACAAAACGGTCTACATATGATTGACGACAATGAATAAATAAATAAATTAATAAGTAAATAAGTAAATACATAAATAAATAAATAAATAAATAAATAACCCCGCAGAAATGCAGACAATCTTCGAGGAAAGCGTATAATAAGCCAGCTTCTTCATCAAGAACATTAAAGGAAACTACCTGAAGCGCTGGTGGTCTGAGGACATTAATGAGCACTACAAGATCAAACGAGAGATGCTACAAACTACAACCGAACCAACCTGAACATCAATCTCAATCACATCAACTCGGTGATCAACATCAGACTGACTTATATAGCAGAAATAGAAACTTAAAACCCCCATCGATCTTTCGGTTTTCGGAAACACTGCTCGGCCCCCTACGTCATCAACAAGGCCATCAACGCCCAGCTGGCAAAGAACCACACCATCGTCGTATTTCTCGATCTATCGCATTTAACGGAGATGAACTAGCCTACGGCTAAAAATCTTCTAAATAAAGATAAAAAGAAAGATATATTGCAGGCTTTTGGCTGCCTGAACCTCCAAACACTGCTCAACGCTCTACAAGCCTTCAACATCCCCAACAAACTCATCTCACGGATTCACACTTCCCTCTGTTACCGACGTCTCGTCCCTAAAACCAGTAACATTTCCTTAACATCAATCTACCTATGCACCAACTCTCTAAACATAAACAATTATCAAAATATTGCTTGCAATGGATATATATCGAATAAACTAGAAGATTAAGTGTATTTTTCATCCGATTCTAGTATGAATATGGTATTAAATCTGGCTTTGAAAGTTGGTGCACAGGTAAAAAGTGAGGTTACGGGACGCCACTGCCTAAAACAAAATAAACGTGAAAGGACCCGCTATTTATACCCTTCAATGAGTGAGAGCACCCTCTAAATGCGCGCCCCTTTGTCAGTCAAAATTTGATTCCATAGCAAAAAATAAGCAATGAGCGGTAAGCGTGATTGACTCTCACCCCAAAAGGCCTGGGGTCAATCCCAGTCGGCGCCGCCGGGATTTTTTGAGGCATAAAATCTCTGATCAAGCATTCCTTCGGAAGGGAGGCAAAGCCGTTGGTCCCCGATCCATGAGTTGATTGGTCGATAGGTAGGGTTCAGGTGTGGGAGCTGCCTCCCTGGAGTCGGTAGCATTGGTACTCAGTACGGAAAACAAGATCGACGGAAAACCAAACAAGTAAAAATAATTTAGTCTTAACCAGTTGAAGACTAACTAACTATTTTTTTCTTGGTTTCAAGATCATCCCCGGTGGACAAAGCCGAATCTTGTCACTATCAACAAGGCATAAAAAGTAACAAGGACTAAGATGTGTTCCTTTGAATACTGAAAAATCCTGTTCCCCTAGTTTGAAGTAGTCAGGACTAGGAATCGGTAGTAGATCTTACATCCCGTAACATACCACGAAAAGGTGACCTACCCACGTTACGGGGCCACATTGAGGAAAGTGAAGGTCTCCCTCAAGGGTCAGCGATACTCTTCAACATCTACACCAGCAGCCTGCACCAGATCGAACTCGAAGGATGTGAACTTGTTCAGTTCGAAGATGATTTTGCGGTGGTGGTAACTGACAGCAGCCCAGAAGAAGCAGCTGCAAAAGTCAACAACTATCTCTCCCAGCTCCTAGCAGACCTCGAAGCTAGAACTTAAAATCACCGTTTCTAAAAGTGCTGCAGTCGCTTTCCCGGAAAGAGACACCAT